TTTTCTCAGAACCGGGGATTGAACTCAGGCCCTTGTGCTTGCCAGGGAAGCGCTTATTCCACTGAGCCATCTCCCCGGCCCCTATAGCACAAATTTTTAAATCTTCAGATTTCTCTGATAGTTCACGTTTTTGTTTCCATCCCCAATCTGATTTCTCATAGATAGCATGTAAATAGAGTTTCCACTTTAAACTTTCTGCAGTGTTTTGTTTTGTGGGTTGAATCCAGAGGCTCACACATGCTAGGCAAGCGCTCTACACTGAGCTATCTTCCCAGCCCCATAGTGTTCCTATATAAGTCTCACTGGGAAGTAAAATCCTACATTTTGTGAATGTGAATCCTTTGCTAATACTAATATGGAGTCAAAGGCCTGTGATGCTGAATACTACTGTACATGGTAGGACAGCATTACTCTGTCAAAAAGATTCTGCTCCTCTACTCACACTTCCTAAAATCTTTCTTATGCATTTGAAAATGTTGGCTGAGGCTATAACTCAGTAGTAAGTATGCTTGTCTAGCATATATAAAGTGTTCAGTTCCTAGCAGGAAAAAAAAAAAAGATATGTTAATTTGGAGAAAATAATAATTTTTCAGTACTTGAGATTGAGCTTAGGACCTTCACACTGAGCTACATTATCAGATCTTTCACATATATTTATTTATTTATTTGATTAAAAGTTTGAGACAGGATCTTGCTAAGTCACAGAATTGCCCAGGCTGGGTTCAAATTTACAACTCCCTGCTTTAGCCTCGGATCACAATACTTTCTATAGGGAGGCCGTATCGGAATTCCTTATGTTATTGGTTGGAGAAATTCAACAGACACAATTCATTTAATTCTCTGGAATTTATTCCTGGCTCTGTTGCATCTGCCAAAACACTTAACCAGATATAAACTCTGTGAGAGTTCCTTCACTGCTGTGGTCCCAGGATCACAGAAAGGTCATTTGTGGGATGAATGAACAAACTCTGGTGCTTACACAGTGAGCTGGAAATTCTTCTCCAGGAAGAGATTATTTGGTAATTTGGGATAGTGCACATGAGCATGGCTTATGGAAATGACTATGTTAACTGATAAAAATTCTTTTTCAGTGATAAAGTGAATATTTCACTGTATATTCCATATGAGAATCACAGTACTAATTATACACATAAATGAAGGCTTAAAGATTTCTTTTATTGGGGCCAGGGAGATGTCTCAGTAGAACAAGTGCTTGCGTGGCAAATACGAGGGTCTGACTTCAATCCCCAGTTTCACAAAAAAAAAAAAAAAAAATTTCTATTATTGCAGCTTCTTAACATTTTAAAGTTACAATATCAAAATCCAGGAGTTGTATTACTTTCTTCCCAAATCCCAAAGGGTATTTAATCT